TCTATGCAATAGACGTCAATGATAACCAAAACTGTTTGGTTACAAGAGCTCAAAATATTTTCCTTTGTGTTACACAGAAAGAAAGTCAGTCATAAAGGTTTGGAACAACATGAAGCTGAGTAAACGATGGCAGATATTTCATTTTTGGATGAACTATCCCTTTTTGCATATTTCAAATATTTGGGTTTACAAATGTACCGTGTGAAATATATATATAATGTAGCATAATGTAACGTAGCATAATTTCCAAATAACGTTGAGGCTGTAAAAAGCACATGAATGAGGTAAGCAGTGAAGCACTTTCTCATTGGTTGTTTACGGTTAAACAACTGGTCATAACATTTCAGCGTTTCATGGACTTTTCATAAACCAAGATTAAAAAGAGCTTAATTATTAATAATATATTCTAAATGCATGTTTTAGATCTTATTTTGAACAATTCGTCCGTGCATGAATTGACCTCGTAATGTTTCATTAAAATATCATAACTGGATCTTTCAGTGAAACGACAGATTTCTCTCTGGTGATATATGCAGGATTTATCCAATCATATAATCCGTTTAAACCCCACCCCTGTAACCTCACATTCATATGCCCCATTTGGGAGTGCAATGCCTTCGTTTTAAAATCCAATTAGCAACCGATGCATAGAACCAAGTCCCTGGCCTGCATTTTTTCTTTTTTGATAATCCATTACCCACAAATGTACATCATAATAATGGAAGAAAAGATCTGTCGCTACTTCTGTTGCATTGCAACTTTAAGTGTAGTGTAAAGTGAAGGAATCATGAAGACAGAACAGGAAGATGGATCGTCCTCAAGGAGGCGCCCTAACATTAGTACAGAAACACAATAGACAAAACACAAAACAGTTAGTGTGAAGTGTTAGACGACTCTGATTAGTGAGTGCAACTGCAAAATCACTGGATAAATGAAATAAAAATGAGCTGTGCTAATAGCAGGGGGCTGTTCACACTCATTAGCACATCTGGTCTTTGCCATTTCAGAGCAGCTGGCCCAGTTGGCTGCCAGTCTGAGGAGACCAGAGTCTGGAGCGGTCGGACTGCCAGGCAGACCTGGTCCCCCTGGTCCTCCCGGACCCTCAGGTGACAGCGGCTTCCCTGGGCATGCTGGTGCAAGAGGACTCCCGGGACTCAAAGGGCCTCTGGGACTTTTGGGTCTCAAGGGGCCGAAAGGTGAGTCATTATGGGACTGTGAGTTCAGACTGCTTTACAGGATCCTTGTTGATCCTGGAACAACAACTAGAGCAGGGTATCCCAAATGGGAGTTCATGATTTGATGAAAAGGTAATAATTAAATTGAATGCAAATTTAAAATAAATAAGATACAAATAAAACACTTACTAAAAAAGATCAAATATTTGTATTGGTTTACTTGCATGTGAACATTAACCGACATCAGAGCAGTGTTGCAGTGTTATTTTAGTGTCATTCAGAAACTAATCGTTTTTATTAATATTTTAAATCAGTGTTTGTTTTTAGATTTTCCATTTTAATTTCAGTTAGTTTTAGTAATTTTATTGTGTTTTTGTCTTTTTTCATTTTTTTTTATTTAATTTCTTTGTATTTTAGTATATCAAGTTAAACAAAATTATGAGAAATGTTGCCAACTAGCTGTCATTTTATTTTATTTTATTATTTAATTTATTCATTTAACATTTGTTTTAAGTCATGAAAATTATATATATATATATATATATATATTAACTTAAAATCTCCTGCATGTGTGTTGCAGGTGAGATGGGAGACAGAGGGGACAGGGGACCTACAAGTCGGGGACCCAAAGGCATGCCGGGACCTCCTGGACTACCAGGTCAGTTCTGACTCAAGTCTCATATCCTACTTCCTCTTGTCAAAGAAAATCATAGTATTATTGCATAAATGGAAGGGGCGTTAATGAATATCATCTGCAAACCAATTCAGTCTGAAACAACTCCATTTATTTCTAAAATGATGTTGGAGATATATTTAGCTCCATCCTGGTAATAGACTTTTGAAAGCAAAGTTAAATTGGTGTTAAATGAAGCTGTCAGATGTCTGATGAATTGGAGGTATATGAAGCCTTCTGTTGTCTTTGTATCTGTGTCACTGACACTTACTGTCAGTCGAATGAAGCTGTCTGTTTAAACAGGATTTCTTGCAGTCGTTACCCAGTGCTCTAATTGTAACAGACAGATCTGCAGCAGTGCCATGTGCTGGTGTCATACAGTTTTTCAGCTTTATATTTCCAAGCCTTTATTTCTACGGCAAAAAAACAAGCATCCATATACTTCAGCTAGATAAAAAAAAAAAAAAAAAGGTATGCTAAAAAAGTAATCACCCAAGTTCTGGTATTTACTCACCTTCATGTCATTTCAAACCTGTATGACTTCAGTTTAACACTAAAGGAAATGTTTAGGAGAATTGATGTTTTTTTTTTTTTTTAAAAGACAAGAAATAAATGTGGACAGACACTGAAAAATACAAAAATAACACAAAAAGCCATAACGGTAGTTCATGTGTAATATAAAAACACCATGAAAATTGGTTATTTGACTTCCATGACTCTCAAATCTAGTTCACGTTTTTGTCCATGTGGAAATGCAAATGAGAATGACCTTAAGCTTTGGCCTTCTGCAATGATTTTAATGGGTAATGTAGTGAGCTTGAAGATGACTGACCTTGTTCTGTCTTGCAGGTGAACCTGGAAAACCAGGATACGGTCAAGATGGGCGTGATGGAGAACGGGGTCCACCTGGTGCCCCGGGTCAGCCAGGCGTTCCTGGACCTCCTGGTTCAGCAGGACCACCCGGTTACTGCGATCCTTCGGCCTGTAATCTGAGCGCAGGTGCCGCCCACCAGTCCCTCAAAGACTCTAGCATGAAGGGACCAGGCGGAAACTAAGAACCTCACTGCATAGACATTCATAGACTTAAGACATTCAGAGAGACTCTGCGAAGAGCACAAAACGTCATCGCCTTTGCAGATAGTTTTATAGCTGTAATGCCTAAAACACTTTACCAGCTTCCTGTGTACAGAAAATGGCAACATTTCTTGATCCAAACAAAATATATATTTTTTGCCCACCTCAAGTTATCTGCTGGTGCAAATGAGCTTTCACAGAACTTATTGTCCATCTAATGTTCTCCTGAAAGCCATTTCCTGTAGACTTTAGAAATGTTTTTTTTTTCTCAGCTTATACTAAATCTGATCTAGGAAGTCAACAAACATCAGTGTGACCTTCAGACCGGAGGCCTTTTTAATTTCTGTGTGCCAAAGATAAACCTGCCAGAAATATTGACGTGCTGGAAGTTCATAACCGAAACGGCTGCCAGAGACCTGCTGTCAGAAACAAAAAGGAGAGAGGATATATATATAGATATGCTGCAATGTATTCTGTACATCTATGTAAATGATTTAAATGTGGTTTTGTAAGAAATTCACTTCCCCTGCTAAATAACATTGGTGTGATTTATTGTTCCAGGATTGTTGATGCATGACGTAATACACACAAGAGAAATGCAGAGGTGTCGTTTCATGGTATTTCTATTTATTTTACATAGGTGTTCGATGACGATTAAGTTTGTACAGAGATCCAAGGGAAACACATTTGAATAAATGTGATGTTTTTATATGAATTCAAAATAAATGTAGGTCTCAAACATTCTTATGCCTTTTCCCCTTTCAAGTAACACTTCCTTGTTGAATAGCCCGGCTGCACTTATCACAGCTTTTTCCACACTCTTTCTCACTTAAATAACTCATTACATGCCAGTGCAAAAATGTTGGCACAAACACATTTCGATTGCTCTTTCAGTGTAGATGCTCATTTAGAGATGCAGGCAAACCAAAGTCAGCAATAATCAGAAACGAAATCAAGCGAGGGAGATGTTAAGTAAGAATTACATAAAATGTCATTCACTTCAATTAAAACTTAAAACATCAGTTCAGACTAGACAATGATTAAGCATTAAGTTAATACATGTTTAATTAATTTGAATGTTAATTAAAAAGAGAAATTTCATTAATATATAAAGTGGCCTCAAAGAGCATTTGGACACTTTAGACATGCCATTGAAGTAGAAAACAAACATTTCACAAAACAAAGTTATGTTTTAAACAATAATAATTTAAAGGAATAATTCAGCCAAAAAGGAAAAGTGCTTAAATGTACTTATCCATGATGTAGATGAGTTTGTTTCTTCATCGGAACAAATTTGGAGAAGTTTAGCATTATATCACTTCCTCACCAATGAATCCTCTGCAGTGAATGGGTGCCGTCAGAATGAGAGTCCAAACAGCTGATAAATACATCACAATAATCTACAAGTAATTAACATCTTGTGAAGTGAAAAGCTGTCTTCTTAAACAAATGCATCAAGGCATTTTAACTTTAATTCATCGCTTCTGGCCAAAATACGAGTCCATAATACATAATTACGCTTCCTCCAGTGAAAAAGTCATTCCCCTGTTGTCAGCTCACATAAAAAATTTACCAACACATTTTATAACCGTTTTAGACTGTTCTTGCCTGTAAACGATGCTTGATCTCTTCATATTTCTCTCCTGATTCAGAAGAGACAACTTCTTCCCTGAAGAAAGCAATATTATTGATACAGGACTTGTATTTTAAGCAACAGTTTGAAGTTAAAAAAAGTCATAATGGTGGATTTGTTTATAACAAACATGCAGCTTTTCACTTCACAATACATTAATTGAAGGACTGGAGTCATGTGGATTGTGTTTTTATCAGCTGTTTGTACTCTCATTCTGACGGCACCCATTCACTGCAAAGGATCCACTGGTGAGCAAGTGTTGCTAAATTTCTCCAAATCTGTTCTGGTGAAAAAAAACCATATATAGTATATCTTAGATGGCCTAAAAATTCAACCCTTTTATTTATTTATTTAAGCAAATGTTCATTTTTGGGTGCACTACTCCTTTAAGTGCCAAAATTCTTTCTGAGGCCACTGGTCATATTCATATCTAATGCACTCAACAATCTAAACAACAACAATGTAAGTGGAATGCTGAAAGACTGAACTTGAGCATCCTAAAACACAATCTAATGCATACAATTAACAAAATAGCTTTGTACAGCACATAATCTAAGCTACACTGCAAAGGATCCACTGGTGAGCAAGTGTTGCTAAATTTCTCCAAATCTGTTCTGGTGAAAAAAAACCATATATAGTATATCTTAGATGGCCTAAAAATTCAACCCTTTTATTTATTTATTTAAGCAAATGTTCATTTTTGGGTGCACTACTCCTTTAAGTGCCAAAATTCTTTCTGAGGCCACTGGTCATATTCATATCTAATGCACTCAACAATCTAAACAACAACAATGTAAGTGGAATGCTGAAAGACTGAACTTGAGCATCCTAAAACACAATCTAATGCATACAATTAACAAAATAGCTTTGTACAGCACATAATCTAAGCTAAATATTAAAGGTATTGCAATTTGGCATAGAGTCACACAAGCATGAGAAACACCCAATACAGTTCAACTAATATTAACAAATATTATACATCACACAACAAAAAAAGTACAAACATTTCTCAAATCAGGTATCTACCTCTAAAATAATAGTAATGAACCAAACATGTTAGTACATTCAATCTACAACAGTCTCCAATGGCAATAGTTCTCAACTTTTGCCTACCATTTAAACCAAACTCCATGCTTATATTGTCTCTCATAAAGTACATATTGATTGACCACATTTCACAATGGATTGTGTCATTAAGTCAGACAAATACAGTTGCATATTGAGAGACACGTAAGACACTACTGTTTCACAATGAATGTTAAATTAAACACATTTATTAAAACAATGTACAATTATATAAATATGCAAACCAAATGCATTTGCACAAGCACAAAAAGGCAAAGGAACTGACAAAGGATGTGTGGTACTGTAACTGACCACAATGAGAACAGAACCATTTTGTAACAGAATCATCTTCCAGATATTCCATCAGGTGATACAATGCATATCAGGTAGATGTGGTGTTTTGTCTTAAGACTGTCCTTCAAGTAAGTCCACAGGTTTAGCCCTTGAGAAGAATATTGTATCCATGCTACATGTCAATAATAGCCCATTTCTGTCAATTAAGTTAACTGTACTAATATAAAGGAGACAAAGCCGTGCCGACTCTGAGATGCTTACTTGGAAGGATTCTCTCTAATGCGTATTAAACAAGCAGTTCAACAATCTCTCACAAGAGTCTTATGTCCTGAACCATCAAAAAAAAATTTAACTCTCAGCAGAGGTAATCTGGTACATTACATATAAAAATAAGAAGCATAAAATTAATGAGTAAAACAGCAAAAAAAACTATTAAGGGTTTGCTTTGTCACACTTAACCGTAGGTGCAATAGAAAAAAAAAGAAAAAGAAAGAAAGAAAGATAGATTTCTGCAGTTCTTAAAAAGTCGTAATTTGACCTTCCACAAATTGAGGCCTAAAAAGGTCTTAAATCAGAGCTTAAATCATCAAGTGATGGCTTTAAATTTGACATGCTTTAAAAAAATCTATATCTTCCTCAGTATTTTTGTTTCGATTTCCAAAACAAATATCTAAACATCCTTAAATCAAGATATATTACTTTGGATGCAAACTGAACATATCAAAAAATTGTGACTTTATGCTTAAAACTAGAACAAACATCTGTCACTGGGGTTTGAAAACTTGTTTTTCCCTTTCAATTAAGTTTTTCAGATTTTTCTGAGCCCACTGGCAGTTATTGTTCTTGCTTTAATCATAAATTCAATTCTTTCTCATAAAACAAGATTTCGCTTGTCAAGTACTATAAATGATCTGCACTGGAAATCCCAACAAAAATACTTAGAAAGAACAGCACTTTCTGCAGTGTGATCAGAAGATAAAGTAAAATATTCAGTAGCAGAGGTATTCAAGCCATAAGCTTTTGCTTGTTTGCTTGTTTTTGTCAAATGAATGAAAAAAATCATGGAGATCTGTTAAAAGTTGTATTGCCAAACGTTGAAACATTGCAAAGACAATATTGACATACTGTGTTCCATTCAATTTATTTACTTGGTTGACTTCTTTACTTGGTCTTAAATTTACCTTCATAAAAACCCTGGGAGAAAGGAAGGAAAGAGAGAAAGCAAGAAAGCTGTAATGGAGGAGACTGGGAAGACTGTCATCCGCCCACATGACTCCAGCAACCTTCATCTTTACAACAGAGCCAGATGGATGAAGTCAAAAGATTCAATGACTCGTATGCGCCTTCAGTAGGCTTAAATCTCATCTTACTGATGCTGGATCAATATATTACAGATATCTATAAAATAAATAAAAACTCAATCCAGACTGCAATCCTAAAATTGTACACAAATAAATAAAGAACTAAATTACACAGAAACATGGTCTTAAGACGCATTGCTGACCATGAAAAGTAAAATCTACAAAGTTTGAAGTTAACTGGCTTGCCATTTGTTAAACTGTGAAAATGAAATTGACAAAGATGTCGTCTTATAAAAAATATTCAAGTAACATGGAAGGACGCTTTCCATACAAAGCAAAAGAAATGAGAGATAAATATATTCAAATGCAAAGATAAATATATTCAAATGCAAATAAAAAGCACTCCACATCTTTTCTTAGGAAAAACAAACCAGGTACACAACAAAATATACATACAACACCAGTATGAAGGTGTTTAAACAGTCAGAAAAAGGAACAGCGCTTATTTTCCTGTAAACAATTAAAGCTTATTAATATCATGAAAAATTTTCACCGCAGCACTGGCCAACACAGCAAAATCAATACAATTATTTCTTTCATCATTCTTTGCTGTGTTTGATCAAAACTTAACATAAAATTCTGATACCACTTTGAAGATCTGGGATTCAAAATCTATAGAACATGGAACTTAACCAAGTTTTGCCATTTGGAAATAAAGACTAAATGAACAAGAAACGATTAAGAGATATTTTGCATTTTAATTCGTCGTTATAATTGTTCTACTTGAGTTATGCTGATTACATAATTTGTAATTAAAAATATTTTTGAATATATTTATTTATAATTATTAGGGATGCACGATATTGGATTTTTGCCGATATCCGATATGCCGATCATTTTCAACTCATTTTGGCCGATAGCCGATATGTAATTATTTTTAATTTTGGTTAGTTTTTAACAAGAACTTATTTGTTAGAATTAAATAAACAATAATAAAGTTATTTTATAATGACTGTACATTGAAGATGTGAAAATAACTATAAATAAACTATATATTAATCACTGCATTGTTTTTTCAGAAAGATGCAGTGGAAACTTTTCTGATTTAACATTTGTAAATGGTCTAAAGCAAAAGAGTTGTAAAAATTCTAAAAATCTTTTAGAGCTCATAATTTGTTTAAAAAATATAACGCATTACACATTAATGAATAAATCAGTA